AACCCATGTCCGAAGGGGTTGGTGAAGTCCGTCTTCATGCCTCAAACCTGAAATCTTAAACCCTAGTTGTACCTCTTTTGGGCGTGGGTTTTGGAACCTGAATGTTCGACCCTCCTAGGTACCAAGACTGCCAATTTGAAACGCAAGTGGGAGCATAGACACGCGTAGGTTTCAACGCTTAGGGTTTGGGGTTCGGGGTTCAATTGTTGAGTTTAGGGCTTACTTTTAGGATCACAGGGTAGTTATAAGTAAGGTAACTATACTTAAAACTACCTATAATCGAGGTACTTATAACCTCACCTGCTAGGTCCCCTGATTCTCCAACTAGCGTCAAGCAAGCTGAAGGGTTGTACAAATATTCGCACCCTTGCAAAACCTAGCCATCGCAGGTCGGTCACGCTTTAGTGACTCAGCTCCTGATCGAGGTGTGCTCTGGGTGTTAGAAGGGTCCTAGGTACTGTTGTGGGGAGTACTTCCCCAAATTCATAGTCATTCCTGTTATAGAAAGCCTACAGTCTACCGGGTTAGGGTTTAGGGTTTAGAGTTTAGGGTACCCTTTGGGATTTGTTGCAGGAAGCGGGTTCGTCTGGCGCGCGTTCTTTGTGTTCTTGAGCTTGTAAGGTGTTTCATTCTGTGCATCTACGGCTGACGTCCTGTTGCATCCATTGTATGTCTAGCAAAGAGGCAGTGTTGTTCTAGTATTACCCTCCGTATTTATCGGGTTTAGGGTTACCCTAAACCCTAAACCCTAAACCCTAAACCCTTTTTCAGGCGTTGTTGTGTTTTTGTTTCTGGTTTTTAAGTTTGGGACTTCGGGGTGCCTTCAGCCCGATGTAGGTTCTCTCAGGATTCTTATACGGAAGTCATCAGAATCGGGATCCCTAAATGCAGCACTTCTGGGTTCAGGGGGTCGGCTCGGCGATTGCAGAAGGCTCGATCTGAATTCGGAACCAGAGGGTCCATATATACATATATACATGTGTATATATATATGTATGTATATATACATTGTATATATACATTGTATATATATATATATAGGTATAGGTATGTATGTGTGTATGTATATGCATATGCATATGTATATGTATATATATATACATACATACATACATACATACATACATATATATATATATATATGTACGCTCTAATTTTTGTCACTATCATAGAAGTGGGCTCCAGAAGACCACGCTGATTCCTGATTATGGTTTTGGGGACCTAATCCCACAATAGCAGAATGTGTGGACCTTCCAGGGAAGTTCGATTCGGGTCTTCCGATGTGCGGACGGCAGAGGTTTCTTTCTGGCGTTTGGGGATTCAGGGGTATTTAAAGTTTAGGGAGTTTAATAGATTTATAGGGTTTCGGGTGGTGTTTTACCGGCTTCTCGGGGATGAGGGAGCTTCACTGCTAATGGGTAATTGGCAATTGTGCGATTTTCAGATCCAACAACACATCCTTGGTTCAAAACGATTCGATGATGGGGTTTGTTGTATTGTGGGCATAGTGTTATAACCTGAAGATACAGCTGTGCAAGGTTTGAGCAGTCAAGCCCTGCATCTTAAAACTTAAAACCCTAAGGGCCTACGCCGCAAATGAGCCCTCAATCCTACGCCCTGCATCTGCAAAGCCTACGGCTTAAGCCCCGAGCCTTTGTTCCAAAGCTCTCGTGCACCAGGTTCCAACGGCGCTGCTCCCAGACATGGGCGCGACGAGGCCGCCACTTGCTGCGAAGGGCGGTTTCCAGTATTAGGATTCATGATGGCTTTCTGTTTAGGATTTCGAGTCAAAAAGGGATTGTCCTGACATCGACTGTAGCTCAGCCGAGCACTTCGGGATAAGGACACGGTCAGAAGCTTGATGCTTCAGGCAGCCTCATGTACAGAAGCCAAGATACCCCAAGAGCTTAAGTTAAAGAATCTGGTATGGAAATGTCTGGAGCCAGTTATGCACGAAATCATCGATTTGGATTTGGGGGTTTCGTAACATGCACCTACTGGTCTGACAGATCAACTGTCACCCTTCGAGCGATCAGGACTTTTACGTGTGCATTTATTATCGGGGCCTTATTAACTAGACTAGTGTTTGGGGATGAAGTTGGAATAGTTTTGATACTAGTTGCGACCAATAGATGGTAATGATTCCGACTACCATATTTGGGCTGTTGGGTTCAGAGGGTTTCTCAGCATACATAGAGGTTTGAGTAATTCGTAACTAGATCCGGATCCTGGTCCCTATATTCTTCTTTACGCTGTACCTAATTCGGTGGGTTCCTGATTATGCTTGTAGTATGATTGGCCCCAAAGCCCTATTCAGATTACTATAAGGCCCCTATAATGAACCCTAGTCTAATTATTAAGGCCCCTACATTATAGTCGTTCCGAAACCCCGCGCCAGTCTGAAGCCACTGGCAGGCTCCACCTCGACCAGACTATAGAGAAGGCTGGCGGGTTCAGGTGTTTTTTGGTGCTTAGTTTAGGGTTACGGTTTAGGGTTTAGGGTCTAGGGTCTAGTTAGTGGCTTTAGGGGATGAAGGCTTCTTTGGGGTTTGTGGTTTAGTCTAGTGGTACTGCGACGACGACGACTTCGATTGCCGCAGCTGCTGCTGTCGCTACTGCTCACGCTCCTGCTACCGCTCTTCGTGCTGTTGCTTGCTATGCTGCTACTGCTTACGAGACATGTGCTGACATTCCTCAGCTTTGTACCCTGAGGCTCCAGGTGCAACTCCAGTGTGTTTTCTTTGGTGTATAATGTGGGCTCTACTTCTGAAACCAATGATGCTAGTTCTTTATTGACTGATGCTGTGGTTGGTTTTTGTACTGACCAAGGCAGTGTTTGTTTTGTATAGAGATCTTTCGCGTCTGGAGGTTCTGCTTCTGTTCGTGCCTTCATGGAGTCTGGGTCTTGATTGCACGTCCTTGTTTGGTTCAATCTAAAGGGAACTCCAGAAAGTTGGAATAGGGTTTCAGGGTAGGATACCTTGTAATTTACCATAGAAGGGTTAGGATAATCATATTCCAACTTTCTGGCTTTTACTTTATACCAAGACAGGGGCAGACTGCAGAAACAAGGCATTGCATCAAGCAGCTCAGTTGTACTTTTTTGACACATGGATGGTTGTCAAAATTAGGGTTCCTTTTTGGGTCCCTGTTACAATACGGCACCTATGGTTTAGGGTACCCAAAAAGGAACCCTAATTTTGATAACCACCCACATGAAGCTGCGGACGGTGGTAACTCAGGCCCCAAAACACACGGAAACGCATGGAGTTCTGTGAGGCAAGGGCGGTGGTGGTGGAGGAGGTAGAGGTGCGCCAGCTGTGTTCTTTTCAGAATAGGTGCGAGCAGGATAGGTAGAGGACACCTTGCATAGCCCTGTGCTGTCCACAATGGTCAGCTCCCCAGCTATCGGGATAGGTCACATTGACCTGCTGCTGACTTACATAGTCTGGGTTCGAGTGCTTAGGGGCGTTGCCGGTCGACGATTCTTGAACCTAACACTTGAGTTTTCGATTTGGGAAGTTTCCATGCCAGTTTCGATCAGGGGTTTGGGAAGGTTTTAAGCCATACTGGATACTCGGGCCCCAAGAGTATAAGCTTGAAGCATCAGTACTAGCATCCTCTTGGTGTTCCTGTAATTTGGACAATACAATGACGATGCCTTCCCAAATTCGTTTCTGCCTGTTAAAATTTCCAACACCATTATCGCAAAAGCCTTCAAAACCCTGAACAAGCCGCACAGAATCCTACTTCGATCATTCAGATCCCCTGAGCAGAGAAGAAAGGCCCCCCATGTTACTGGAGCCTACTCTTGCACCACCGCCTTTCCTGCTGCCCCTTCTGGCCCATTCTTGATGCTGAACCGAAGAAACTGATTTCGAGAAAGCAGTCAAGGCAGCTGAATGAACCGCAGTGTTTTACAACCGCCTGTCGTAGAGGCAAGTTGCTCGGAAGAAGGAAGACTAGGACCCAGAGTAGGCCCTTATTCCCTTTTTTGAGGCTTAGGTTCCCTTATAAACCCCTTTAAACCAAAAAGGGCACCCTTTTTATTCCTAGGGTACTCTAAGGTCTAGAAGAACAGCTATCAGGCTACAGTCTAACATCTCTCCGGGGGGTACTTAAAGGTTCAGAGGACTTAGTAAGTAAGGTTATAATTAGGATAACCCCACTTAGGAGACTTATAACCCCAGTTATAACCTACTTACTAAGTCCCATGATCCTTCAAGTATGGGACGGCGCAGGATAGCCCCAGACAAAACAGGGTCTAAGCGCCTAGCATCGTAGATACGTTGGCTTTAAGCGTGCAAACAACACTTTGGCACTTAGACCCCGGACCTTCCTCATGTAGGATAAGAAACCATGGGCTTATCTCCCCCAAAGAGTAGGGCTCATATAAAGGAACCCTAATAAAGGCCCAAGGTTTCTTAATCAGGCTCCTGCATTAGACCCTAAGCCCTTAAGAAGGAACTTTAAACATAGTTATGAGTATTATTACCTTATCTATAACCCTACTTGGTCCCATGATCCTTGAAGTAGGTTGTGGTGGTTGGAGTTAGGTCCGAGACGAAAGCTTGTGCCCGTGCTATGTCATGTCTGGCTCAGATGGGAAGCCAGAAGCGAGGCTCCTAAACCTAAGGATTATAAGAATCCCCAAGGGTCGAAAGGACCCAATAGTTGGGTACTTGGATTTCGAATATGTAGGTTACTATTCAAAGACAGTATATGATTATTAGGTACTTGGACCCTTAGGGTAAGGATTATATGAATTGTTTACCCAGGGTCCATATGTACTACCGTTGTGGAATTAGGCCCTAAAGACCATCCCCATTATGGTTTTGCGGACCTGATTCCATAATGGTAGTGTATATGGACCCTCTGGGTTAAGTAATAATAGTGAAGGTATCAAGGATCCATGTTCGTATGAGTTAGGGTAGGTTCCTGAATTTGGGGTTTTGGGAGTCACTGGGCAGCATGCCCAGCCAGCCTAGCTGGAGCATGGCATGCCTCTACCGCCGCAGGCATGGCGTGCCTTGGGCCAGAGCTCCCAGGCGGCAAAAGCCTCAAACTGGCAGCTTTGCCTTCATCTCTGGCAACTGTTCCCCACGACGAAGGCCGCAACAACTGCCCTCACTGCCTCTGGCCGAGCACGCTACTGGAGGCGAAGCTTGGCCATCTACCAGAGTCTCACAGGCAGCAAGGCGTTTGCTTCAGATCCCGTGCCGCTCAACGCGCTCTGCGCCGCGCTGGCGCATGCCGCGCAGTGGTCGCGCGCCCTGCATCTTCTGGGCACCTCCTGCGATCCTTGGCGTAACAATGCGGTCTTGACTGCCTGTGGGAGGGCCTCGCATTGGATGCTCACCCTCCACCTCTTCTCGGACATGAAGCTGCGCAGGCTTGCAGATGCTTGGTAGAACTTATTAGCTTTAGCCCTGTGGGGCTCAGATAATCAGATAATCCTACAATGTGAAGACCTTTTTATGACCTAGGGTACTGAGCCGACTGAGCCCCTAAGGATGCGACCAGCCTGAACGCTGCAGTCCATGCGTGTCAGCAAGCCGCCCACTGGCAGGCAAGTTGGAGAGAAGCGGCCTTCGTGCTTAGCGACAGCAAGGTTTCAGGGTCCGGGATCTTTTGTGATCCAGCAGCCTTTTGAGACAGATACATACGTAGATAGCTAGCGAGCTCGCACGCTAAGCAGGTAGGGAGATAGATAGACAGGTCTTGCGTCGTGTAGCAGATACCGCATTATTTCATGATACTGACTAAACTAAACTCCACAAGCACAGGACCCCTCCTACAACACAAACCCCTAAACCCCTAAACCCAAGAACCCTAAACCCCTAAATAAACCCCTGAATCCCTCAAACCCAAACCCACAGTCACAGCGAGCTCTTCATCTAAGCCGTAAACCCCAAACCCCTAATTAAACCCCTAAAGCCCTAAACCCCAAACCACTCCCAAACCCACAGGGAGCTCTTCATCTTTGCAGCCACACCCCTTGGAGCATTCCCAGTGCCTCGGCGACGCTCTCAGCGTGCGCGGCGGTGGCGGCCTGGCATCAAGCCCTGGCCCTCTTTGAAGACATGCTCCTGGGCTCGGGGGTCTGGATAGGTATATATATATATATATATATATCATTTTTTTAGGGTCCATGTACCAAAAGAGTATAAGTACTTAAGGAACTTTTTCAAGGATCTACAAGGGTGCTGTAAGGGATGATAAAGTATAGGGCTTAGAGTTTTCGGTGAAGGGTCCATGTGCCCAGATGGTATAGACTTTGGCCTGAAAGCAGCTGGGGAAAAGCATGATATGTTAGCAGAATCCCTATGATCCCTTTAACAGGTTTCTTGGGTCGATTGTATATTTCGGTACGGTACATGATCCCTTACCTATAGGCTCATACCCTACCCCTTTTTTGAGGTACCTACTTTTCTATATAGGCGATCCTGACCATAACACTAGGTACCCTAAAGAAGGGGTAGGGTATGACCCTCTAGGTAGTGTATTGAGTTTTCACTGAAGGCTCTGTGGCTCCTCCGGCTTTCCTCGACCCGGCCCGGTGGGGGCCAGCGCTGTTCTGACCGCGCTTCGATCGGATCGTCGTATTCCGTTTGTGTGTTTTTTTGTGGTACAGCCGTAGGTTTGTATGTTTTGGGGTGTTGGGTGTAAGGGTGTTGATTTAAGGTTTCTGGGCTTCTTTTCGATTCCGGTATGTTTCGGATTTTGTGGCACTTTTGAGATTTCTTCGAAAGGTCCCCAACTTTTGTTCACAACCTCTCACCATACGTTTAGAACACACCTGTAAAAAAGCTGAAGGCTAGACTCGACCCCAACATGAGAAACTAAACTCCAAGACCTCAATCCTAAGGGTCCAAGTACCTAACAATCATATACTCTCTCAAATACTACTTGGAGGGTCGGGGGACTTAGTAATTAGGTAGTAAGTAGACTTATAAGTACCCTAAAAGGGACCCTAATTGGGGTTATGGTACTTATAAGTCCCTAAAATAACCAGTTACTAAGTCCCCCGACCCTCCAAGTAAGCTACATAACTACTATCCGAAACCTAAGTACCCGATTATTGGGTCCGTTGGACCCTTAGGCAACCGCCCCAAAGCCTCAACCCTAAACCCCTAAACCCTAAACGCCTAAACCCGAACCCCGAAACCCTGAAACTCCAAGACCCTACAGAATCCCCGCAAGCAAAACCGACCCTGAGTCCTCAGCCCTTTTACGAGAAAAACACCCTACCCTATTGCTCCTTTAGGATCCTAGAAGGTAATCCCAAAAAGGATTTGGGTTTAGGGTTTAGTGTTTAGGGTTTCGATTTTGGGTCTTAACCCTATTGCTCCTAAGAGGGTCTTGGGCTTTCTGGGGGAGGGTTCCGGCTTTGGGGGCTAGGGTTTGGGATCTCACTACAAGTGTCCATGAGCCTTAGGGTAAACCCTTTTTGTCTGATACGGAGGAAAACCAAAACCAGCGACGGATCAACACCCTCAACCCTTTTAGAATGCCTTATAGAGCCTAAACCCTAATCTAGCTATCGGTCTGGGATCTTGTTAAATGTCCCTTACTGTTTAACATAGAGCCCTAATTATGACCATTTTTGAGGACTGCTGAAATCGACACCTAGTACTCTATAAAACCCTCAACTCCTCAACCTTCAATACCCTCAACCCTAAGCCGTCAACCCTATATACATCCGAATTGGTTTAGGGTTTAGGGTTTAGGGTTTAGGGTTCCTAAACCCTAAACCTTAATCTGTAGGTGCAGACAGATAGGGCAGGCGGAAAAGCTGAAAACACACAACCTCAATCTGTAAAAAACCCAAACCCTAACCCTTAAATCTTATAATGTGTTTAACCCTAAACCCTAACAGTTTCGTGGCTCTGCACCCATTACATAATCCTGTTAAAGCCCTTATAAACCCTAACCTTTTACTCTTCTAGGACCTAGAGTAGGCCCTTATTCCCTTTTTTAGGGTTCAGGTTCCCTTATAAGCCCCTTTAAGCCAAAAAGGGTACCCTTTTTATTCCTAGGTTACTCTTGGGTCGAGTCTTATAATGCTTATAACTACTTATAACCCCAATTAAGGTACATATAACCTTACTATATAACCTTACTTACTAAGTCCCATGATCCTCCAAGTAACCCCAAAACCCTTATGGAATCCTTGTAGTAACCCTTGTAGGTCCCTTAAAGGAACCCTAACCCTTTAGTCTTATAATGTTTAAAAAACCATGAAAGTTTCGAGGCTCTGGGCCGCAGCACGCGCTGGGCCCAGGCTCTGGGAATCTTTGAGGCTCAGATCGGTTTCTGGCTTTGTCTACTTAAAGGATCATGGGACTTAGTAGGTAGGGTTCCTTAAAGGATTCCTTTAAGGGACCTACAAGGGTTACTACAAGGATTCCATAAGGGTTTTGGGGTTACTTGGAGGATCATGGGACTTAGTAAGTAAGGTTATATAGTAAGGTTATATATACCTTAATTGGGGTTATAAGTAGTTATAAGCATAGTTACCTTACTTATAACCCTAGTTACTAAGTCCCATGATCCTCTAAGTAGGTTTCAGCTAAGGGACCTGTTTGGGTTCCTTAACGGGGATCTATAAAGGGGTACCGGGATACTATAAGGGTAAGGGTTTAGGGTTTAGGTTCCAACTCAGGATGAAGGTGACCGGCTTTGTAAAAGTCTCCATAAGCTTGTTTGCAGTTTCGGGTTTAAGTTACGGTTTCTCTGCATGAAGTTTAAACTTAGGGTTAAGGGTTCCTTGAATTGGGATCTATGTAGATCTTTATCTGGCTACTTGCTTGTGGTTTTGCGCTTAAGGTGCAGGGTTCTATGAGGGTCTAGGGTTTAGGAGGTGCTGGGTGCCTGTAGGGTGAAGGGGCTTCGGGATTAGAGTTTCTTGCGGTTCTGGGTCTAGGGTTCCATGAGCGGCTGCTCTAGGGGATCGTGTAAAGGGTCCATAAGTCAGAGGGTTTAGGGTTCCTTCGGTTAAAGGTTCAAGGCTCTATGTAGGGATTGATGAAGGCTTCTAGGGTTTGAGCTGACAGACTGGTCACTGTAAAGTCTTGATTAAAGAGCCTACAGAAACATGGTACCCTTCTAGCCCTTGGTACTGCCCTTCTAGAACCCTCTGCACCCGGATCGGAGGCCTTGCAGCCTAAACCCTATAAAGCCTAAGCCCCTAGGCTCTAAACCCTCCGAAAGGCTCCATGTGCCCATATAGTAGGTACTTAGGCCTTAAAGGGATCCGTTATAGGTACTAAGTACCTACTATATGGGTACATGGAGCCTTAGGGCCAAAAAATCGGAGGCCTTTGCAGCCACCACGGCACCCTCGATTTCCTGCTTTGGCGCCGTCGCTGCCGCCTGCGAAGTTGGTGAAGTGGACTCCTGAGAGATGGGGAAGGGAACCTCTGCAGTGCCGGAGTTTAGGGTTTATGGTTTTTGCATGTTTTAGCGTCTTACATGTTTAGAGGCGTGGGATTTAGGGTACGTAGAGTCCGGGTAGACACGTTTTTAGATGTTGCTGTGGGTTCAGGCTTGCGGGTCTGCCTCCACGCCTCAACTCCACGTTTCATGATTAGACTTCCATAGACTTCCCACATCTAATACTCTAACAATTGGGCTATAAGGTGTTTCGCGGGCTTCTGGAGCCTTAAACCCTGCTTCCATGCAACAAGTCCCAAACTTTCCGAACATCCGAAGGCCCAAATCCCAATTTTCGGGTTCAGGGTTTGGGCTTATTTTAGGCCCTAGTAAGGTATATTTGCTCTTATTGGGCTTAACAGGATTTTCCCTACTAATATTTTTCGAGGGCTGTAACAGCACCTTCTAGACTAGCCGAAGCCTCTTTCCTAATGGTGCATGGGTTGCTCTTCGTCGAGTCTTCCTGGCCGATGTTTATAGTAGAATGTAGGGTTTCTATGTTAGGAATTACTATGATGATTTGGGGAAGTAGTCCCCATATCAGTACCTAGGACCCTTTGGGAAGTTAATTGTCAACCCTAAAGCACATAGTCTTGGTAAGCCCAAACTACCATACACTATACACGTTTCAGCCCTGAAGCCGTGCAGTGACCCCAGCAAGTTGGATCAAGCAGCATCTGATACAAAGCCGTAAAGGGAACTCCAGAAAGTTGGAATATGGTTTCATGGTAGGATACCCTATAAATTACCATAGAAGGGTAAGGATAATCATGTTCCAACTTTCTGGCTTCTACCTTACACCCAAAGCTTCAAATCTCATCCCAAAGCCCGTAATCCGAAACCCTCAACCTTGAACCCTGAACCCTATGTGAACCTGAAACCCTATAAGCCCAAACCTTGAGGATTAAACCTTACCTTAAACCCGAAAACCTAAACCCTGAACCCATAAGCCCTAAATCTCAAACCGAACGAAAACCTAAACCCTGAACCTAGAGCCCTAAATGTCAGTCGTAAACCCTAAACCCTAAACCCCTAAAGCCTAAATCCTAAACCCCTAAACCCTCAAAAAAAAACCTAAACCCTAAGCCCCTAAACCCCAAAACCCCTAAACCCCTAAGCCCTAAATCTCAATCCGAAGTGCACCTAGGCCTGGCAGCCCGCTTTGAGCCTCCTGTCTCAGCTGCCGCCGCTGCTTCCGGACGTGGCCTGGCAGGAAGTCTAAGGGGGTCAAAAAAAAGCACATAAGCATAAGCATTTTATGGGGATATCCCTACCATAATGGGCTTCATTATAAGGGGGTTACTATGGGATATCCCTACCATAATGGGCTTCATTATAAGGGGGTTACTTTGGGATATCCCACCATAATGGGCTTCATTATAAGGGGGTTTATATGGGATATCCCTATCCGAATTTTTGCTTATGTGCTTTTTTGGGGCCCGAGTCTAAGGGGTCCCTTTAAGGGACCTATAGGGGTACTACACGAATTTAGGGTTTAGGGTCTAGTATTGGTAAGTCTAAGGGGTCCCTTTAAGGGACCTATAGGGGTACTATGCGGGTTTAGGGTTTAGGGTCTACTATTAGGGTTTATAAGGGTTTACTTAAAGGACCATGGGACAAAGTACGTACGCTTGTAAGTACCTTAAATGGGGTTGTAAGTATAGTTACCTTACATACTTAGAACTCTAATTACTCAGTCCCATGATCCTTTAAGTGTAGGAGACTCCGGTGAGGGTGTAGGGTTCATTAGGGTTGCATGGGGGGGGGGGGGGGGGTAGGGCTTAAGGTTTAGGTTTAGGGCATAGGGGAGGGTTTAGGCTTTAGGGTAGGGTAGGGGTATAGGGCTTGCGGACTGATGTTCAGACCGGCTTCAGGTCATACACTGGTCGATTAAAGAGCCGGTATACCTCTGGTCTTCTTCATTGTGCAACAGTGGATCCTAACATACCCTGAACATAAAGTTGGCAAGCCCAGAACCACACAATGTCATTGATGAGGGCGTACGCAGACCTTCATCCCTGAGCTGTAGGACTCTAGGAGGTTTTCGGGAGTTTAGGGTTCCCTAAACCCCAAACTCTCAACTTTGCGGGTTGGGGTTTAGTGGGTTCCCAGCCGCAGGTTCCGCTGCTGAATGCCATCCTCGGTGCTTGCGGCTCCTTGGAAACGGACAGGCATATGGCAGGCGGAAAGTACACGATTTGCTGCTGAATCCACATGTAGTAGAGGTGTTGTCGCGGTCTGTCTTTTCGAGCTCTGTCGGGTGAAGAGGCTTAATTCTGAAGCCGTGTGCCCGCTCAAAGCCAAGTGGGACCAGCGGCTCAACCCCAAGATCCCGGAGACATAGGTTACAACGATTAGAGCCATGCCATCCGATTCCAGAGTGCTCTCAACAGGGCACGCCGTGTATGAGCCCATTCTAGCGGGCGAAGAAGAAGGAGAACGGGAGGGGCAAGCACGTCGTGTTTTGGGGTTGGAGGACTTTCACGGCCACGATGGGCCCAGCCTGCAGCTGGGAAACGTGTTCACGTGCCTGGCCTTGCGTGTGATCTCTCCTTTTTCTCTGCCTGTGGTCATGTTGCTCCTCAAGATGAAATGGATGCGGCCCGTACTAGATGATGGCACGGACACGGTCGCGCAGGCGATGAGGGTATTGTCGCTGTATTCTGCAACGCCCGATGATCAGTTCTTTCTCTTCTGCAGCCTCCTCTTGTATTTCTGCAACGATTCCTACAGAAGCACGGGGCCACTCGTTGCTGTGCTCTTTCCTTGGGCCATCTTCCTTGCAATCATTCCGAGCAAAATGGCAGCCCAAGCGTCTGCTACTGACAGGCCATCGGAGGTTCAATGCTCCAAGTTTGTGCAATTCCTCATGATAATTGCCAGGCAAGGTGGGATCCCGGATGAGACCATCAAGCACATGGATTGTGATGGGAAAGAGGAAAGTTGCGACAGGGCCATGCGGCTGCTCAGCCAGAAAGACTGGAGCGTCCGATACTATCATTGGGACTGGAGCGTCCGATGCTATTCTTGGTTCGCGGACCAGCTGCCCATACAGGTGAAGGTGCAAAAGTTGGGGATAGCAGACATCCTGCGCTTGGCAGGTTCAAGGGGATCTGCTGCAACTGTAAATAGAATGAGAATTTTCTCAGAGGATGGCAAGTTGGTCGGGGACAGCAGCTGGATGGCCAAATGGCCCGACACAGATCGTTTCGTAGCGCAGCAGAAGCGGATCAACAATTTGGCCCACATTACGCTGCATGTACCCCCCCACCCCACTGAAAAGATTCTTGGCGTTCTTCTGGTTGGCTCTTGGGACTTTATCTTTTCGGCTTTCTATATGTACTGCTAAAAGTTTAACTTTTGGCAGGGGTTCAGAAGTCAGCCAAGGACTCCAGCCAACCTCGACCTGCTTGAGTGCTACAAGGCCCGTTTGCTAGCAGGTGAGATGAAAGCTGCAGACTTTACCAACCAAGTCTCGGTGGACTTCCCCATCCCAGCACCGTTCTGGGTGACAGCCATGCATTCTTTAGCCTCCGTGCTTTGGGCATGTGCACTTGCTGCTTCAGTCTGCCTCTCCTCGTTAATGCCTCAATGGCATTCGCGTGGCACCCTTCAGCACTGGTTCATGTTCCTCCTGTTCGCTTGGTATGGTCAAGTTGCCGCTTCTGGATTGTTTTCTGGGCGTATGCTCCAGCAAGATATCCCGGAACTGAAGAGGAGGCTTCGTGAACTCAAGGTCTTAAATTCCATGCTAGCCGGTCAGGCAGCTGCTGCGCAAAGGTGCTTGCCCGTGGTGAGGCTGCAGGTCCCACAAGACTTGCTGGTTTGGGCGGAGGTGCGAGAGCTTTTATTGGCCCGCTATTCTGCACGTCAGCTGGAGATGGAAACGTCCACCCTTGTTACTACGCTCCTCACACTTGGGATGGCTGCCTGCAGCCTGTACTATGCCTTGCAAGAAGATTGGGATCCAGGTCTCCTGAGTGTACTGGCACTTCAGCAAATGCTTTTGTACATCATCGCAAGCTTACCCTTCTTCGTGATGGGGGTCCTTGTCAACATGGAGGGCAGCAAGTCCTTAGATCTCATGTCTCAGCATGCTCTTCAAGCCCAGCTCGCCCTATGTCAGCCTGGAGTCGCTAGCGCCGAAGAAAGAGACCTGGGCTTGGAGTACCATACTTGAATACTTTTTTTGGTACCTGCTCCTCAGAGGAACCATTATGAAATAAAAGCCTATACTTTTTTCCTTGGTTACTTCAAAGTCCAGGAGAGCACATCCAAGAGACCGTGACGATGGCCGGCCTTCTGGTGCAGCGGCTCCGGGATGACTCCTCCGCTGAGGTACACATCCTCGGGTTGAAGCTTACACCCAGCACGGCATCTGCTATTGCATCTTTGTCATAGTTGGGCAACAGTTTACATTTTTATGGGTACTTAAACCCAATAAGGAACAAAAATCAAATTTTAAATCCTATCCCAACCATGAACTAGGCATCTGCAGTCGCCAGTGCCTTGGCATTCACTTTGAGGAGTTTGCCCATGCGAGAGATCGAGGACAAGCTCCATGAGAGCGACGCGTGGGAGAATATCACCTCGATCTTGGCAAATGTGACACGAACGGCGTAGGATGAGCTTAAAGCTTCTTCTTTTCCAAAACGGAAACCGCCGTAATTAGAAACGTGCATGGAGCTGTTTGAGAATCACAGTTAAATGGAGGCCACCAAGACATTGTCCGGACGTGGATGGTGAGTGCCGTTTTGGCGAGTTCGTGTTTGCAACTCTTTACGGCGTGTATTGATGATTTGTCATCTTGGCTTCATTTTAGTGCCGCATTGGTTTTCTTTTTCATGTAGCGCCATGGATGTGCATTCCACGCTTACGACCGGATGATGCTCGTGATGAAATGTGGCGTGCGATCCACTCCCTTAGACAAGTATTCAGCCAGTAGTGTTGTATGTGCAGATCATTGATTACTGATCCTTGGACTGCAGCGGGGACCGCCAAGCGAAGAGTGCGCCGCCAGCAAAGACCGTGATGTTACTATTGTGACATGGCTGAGGTACCTGTGATGGGCCGGTACAGGCAAGTTCAGTCCAGCCAAGTGCAAGGCACAGCCTTATGTCAATAGCGTGGCGGTGTGATTGACATTGAACTAAGGTCCGCTTTGAATCCTCTCGAGACCCAACACGTGGAGCACATTGTCGATGCCATTTTGTTGTTTCATATAATCTCATGTCTACGTATGTCATGAGAAATATCCTGCTGCACGCCCCTCTGGCAAATAGCATGCCACGATCGACCTGTTTCTTACACGCTTTTGTTCAACGCTTCCTGTGCGGATCAATCCTTGAGGCCTCCATCTTCTGCATTCTGTGTGTTTCAGATGGCCGTCGGGTTTAGGCTTACGATATGCCCAGGCCCCAAAGTCCAAGTGCAGAGAGCTGGCTTGAAACCCTATAGACCCTAAGTGACCTTACACCCTTCAAATCCCGATGCCCAGGAAAAGGAAGTCAGTGGCCATTGAGCCTCTGCCTGCTGCGCCACAGCAACTGGGCGCAGTCAGCACTGCTCTGCTATTCCTAAACAGCGAAACTGTCCGTCGTGGGGACCTGCCAGACAGCGAGACTGAGAGAGCTTTGGTAAATTTGGGGTCATGGGCTTACAGCTTCGGGAGTGGGACTTCGATCAGCTTTGCCTAGTAGGGCTTGCAACAGCTCGAGATGGCTTTCTGCATGAGCTCTCGAAGCCTTCTGGACCAGGTTCTGGAGCCAAACGACCCGGAAGTTTCAAAAATCCAAGGCCCCCTGGAGGTTTAGGGTTTTGGGGGAACTCATCAGGCCTTATAACTTAAAACCCGAAGACCCTGATCCCAAAGGCAATGATGCCACGGGCCGTGGTGCTTTGCTCGAGGCGTCCCAGCTTCGCGGGGCTTCGGGAGGGCTAGGGATTTGATTGCAGGATGAGACCTGAGAACAGGATCATAGAACTCTAAGGCTACAGGGTCAACTTAAGGTTAACTTAAGCTTAGGGTGTATAGGGTTTTCGGGACTAATCAAAGCGCTTAGGGCATACATGTTAAAGGTTTCAGGTTGTGAACTACGAGCTAGGCACTCAGCTGTGATGAGGGCTTTCAGGTAGGAAGGGTTTCGTCGCGGGACTTGGCTTTTCATCATCTCGGCTTTGTAGAGAAATGGGAGATTCCGAAAATAGAAGACCTTATTCTAGTTCCCTAAATAGTCGGATTCTTATTGTAAGGACCCCTAAATAAGGTACCACTAATTTTCGGAAGCTCCCAAATCGATGTTTCCGAGGTCCCTGGTATTCACAAGAATCTGAAGTGCTAAGACCAAAGCCGACGCACTTCGGTGGTCTAACCCAGACTGACCTTCTCCCCAAGGGTCCAAAGGGCCCAATAATTAGGTACTCGGGTTTAGGATAGTAGTTCTGTAGGTTAGGATTTTGGAGAGTATATGATTATTAGGTACTTGGACCCTTGGGGTCTGTAGCCGCAACTCTGAACGTGCGTATACGTGGGGATGGCTTGGAACTCGGGGCAGATCCTTACAAAAGGGTTCAGAAGAATCAGGGTCTTGTGATCAGGGTTGGGGTTTGGGCTTAGGGCTCGTGACTTTTAGGTTTTGAAACATACCGGAAAACAAGGGCATCTCAAGCAAGTAGGGCTGGGCTAACTTGTTTCAGGGTTTTTATGGGTCTGTGCAATGCTTGTTGTTAGCCTTTGTACATGGGTTGTTAGGGTATAGCCGGCAGAAAGTGTGAGCAGCTAACTAATCGGATTCGAGCCGTATCTCCAGCATGGGGAATGCTACCGCGAGGAAGCAGGAGTTAGCATGAGGGATCTAAGACCCCTTCAAAAGGAGCCCTTAAAGGGACCCCTGAGAAAACCCTGAAAGGGGTTCCCTTATCAAAACCGAATAATAGGAAAAAAGGTACCCTCATTATACTGGCGCTACTCAGGAACCTAGCATCCCCAAGCCCCTTAACCCCTAAACCCTGCTAACCCCTAAACCCCTAAACCCTAAACCCCTAAACCCCTAAACCCCTAAACCCCTAAACCCCTAAACCCCTAAATCCCTAAACCCCTAAACCCCTAAACCCCTAAACCCCTAAACCCTTAAACCCCTAAACCCCTAACCCCTAAACTCCTAAATCCCTAAACCCCTAAACCCCTAAACCCTTAAACCCCTAAACCCCTAACCCCTAAACTCCTAAATCCCTAAACCCTTAAACCCTAAACCGAGGGGTCCTGGGAGTGCCCCGAAACTTCGAGGCCCTCGCTGGCGCCGCAAAGTGGGTGACAGCGTTGGCACTGCTTCCTGGAGAGATGTTGAGGATTCTTGGTTAAGGGAATGTGGGTGTTTTCGGACCTTCTGAGGGCTCTTGGGTGTTTTCGGTGTGTTTTTGGGGTGTTTTCTGGTTTGTTTTGGGTTTTGAGGCTTGAGGAGTTCCGAGGTTTTAGGGCTCAGGCTTTTAGCGTTAGGGCTTCCCTGCGACTGCAAGAGCAGAAAGGTGCCTAATATAGGGGCCGCAATGATGACCTATACTGTTTGGGGGGTTCCTTATTATTTATACGTATGGCATAATGGGCCCCGAAACCCTATTCTAATTGTTGAGGCCGAATCAAGGCCCCTATATTGCCTACTTCGGGCTGTTTGGAGTGATCGGGTTGTGGTGGTTTAGGGTTCTTGAGCCCAGAACCAGGAAAAATGAAACTTCCAAACCCATGGGACATCTAGGAACCCACATGCCCCAAGGTTCTAAATCCCACGTGCCAGGTAAGACAGGTAGGATGGTTCAGGGGAGTAATGTGTAGCTTTCAGCATGAGGTTGCAGGGTTCGCGGGTTAGCATGTGGGTGGTTGTCAAAATCATGGTCCCTCTAGTTGGGTCCTTAATATAATACGTCACCTAATATTTAGGGTGCCCGAAAAGGGGCCATAATTTTGACAACCACACATGTCGAGTTTTTGGTACAGTACGGTGCTCAACAGCACTTACAAGGTCCTTGTGGGAGTTTCCGAAAATAGGGGACCCTATTATAGTACCCTAAATGGTAGGATCCTTATGATAAGGACCCCGCAAACTGGTACCCCTAATTTTCGGAAGCTCCCACGTAGAACTTCGTCTAAGACCGTTTAGGCCCCAGAGCTGAATCATATTGTTAATTAGTCGGGTTGACCCAAGTATATCTCAACTTTTGGTAGGAAGCCCTTTTTAGGTGTTCGTGAGCGGCCTAATGTCGTCCCTCCAGCCTCAGGCTTCACGAGGGCCCTGTGGATGTCGTTGGAGCCTTTGCTGCAGTGGCTCGGTGGCATTTGGCTTTAAAGTAAAAGCCAGAAAGTTGGAATATGATTATCCTAAACCCTTCTATGGTAAATTATAGGGTATCCTACCATGAAACCATATTCCAACTTTCTGGAGTTCCCTGTAGGGCTGCAGGGCGTTCGTCCCTATGTGTCGGCTCTAGGAGCCTTAACCTTCTTCTCATTTTGACATGTGGGGGGTTCCGAAAACGGGGGGTGCCTTATGTTGGGGTCTTTATAATAGGGATCCTACCATTTAGGGTGCTATATATTAGGGTCTCCTTTTTTCGGAAAGTCCCATTTGAGCACTGCCGAGGGGATGCCTGACCTGGTCGTACCAAATCTGAAGACTCCTCGTTCAAAGCTGATACATTGAATGCGTTCCCTGGAGTTTCCAGGATCAGACCTTCGAATGGCATATCGCGGAAGAATCCGCCTATCAACAACATTAGAACTATCTGCGAGCTTATACCTTCTAAACTCAAGACGCTCTGTGCCTTAAAGCCCTTTAAACCTCGTAAACCTTACAAGCCTTAGAAGGCCTATGCACCAGTTATGCACCTTATAAGCCGCAATGGCCCTACAAAGTCCCATACAGTAGAAGCCAGAAAGTTGGAACATCATTAGCCTCATGCCCTTAGAGTAAAGTACAGGGAATCCCAGCATGAATCATCCTAAATCTATGTTCCAACTTTCTGGGGTTCACTATAGAACCTACCAGCCCTGGGGACCCTCAACCTCAGGGTCCATGTATCCAAACAGTATAAACTTTGGCCCCAAAGTATCTAAATAGGGACTGCTCTTAGTGTATGTGTATATATATATATATAACAAATTTTTAAATGACTAGATACTATTTGTGCACATGCCTCATTCTCTAAACCTGAAATCCGTATAGTGCCTTAAAGGAACCCTTAAAGTAACCCTCACAGGAGCCCCCTTAAAGGGACCCCTGAACCCTAAACTCTTAACCCCTAAACCCTCACCCCTAAACCCTAACCCTTAACCCCTAAACCCTAAAGCCCTAAACCCTAAACCCTAAACCCTAACCCTATAATCCCTAAACCCTAAAGCCCTATACCCTACACCCCAACCCCTAAAGCCCCTTAAAAGGGACCCTCTGGGCGAACCGGAAATCCTCCTCTGCCAGGCCTCTGCCTTCGAATCTGCGCAAGAACCCGTCCGCGCACTCCATGCAAAGCAGCTCAGGAGCTCTGCTTACCCTACTTAGAGGATCATGGGACTTAGTAACTAGGGTTCCTTTACAGGGTTCCTTTAAGGGATCTATAAGGGTGACTATTAAGCT